AACAGTACGATAAATTGTTAATAAAAATACACAAGCACAACAAAAACACAGACACACCAACATCAGACTCACGTTTTTTTTTTTTTTCCAACGTGCCCACCAGTCTTCAGGGTCCAGACGCTAATGACTTCACGAACAGCTCCGTATTCAGCAGCGCATCAGCTCCTAACAACACCCGAGCCTCCGGCGACATTTGCGCCATCTCGTTCGGGCCGAAAACGCCCCCAGTACGATGATTGATGTGATGTACAAGAGCCGCCTCCTCCAGCGTACAGCCACCGCACATGAAGACGATCACCTCCTCCGGCTTGAAAGGTGTCCCCCCTGGCGGGGCAGGTGTGCGGTACGGGTACCCCTGCGTGGACTCGCTCTGGTCGAGGGTGTCGGTCAGCAACTTCAACAGCGTCTTCTTCAGCACCGGCTGATGCTGTGTGTATATGTTCCCCACATCCACGAATGTCCGGACAATGGAGGAGAGTACCCCGGTCTCGGCAAAGAGCTCCTCCGTGTTGCGGTCGGTCCCGTAGTAGTGTCGGAGGTGCTCAATCAGCCTGCTGTACCCACTGGTGCTGCTATTATTCAACACCGCCTGCACCCTCGAGTTCTGGGTGGGACTTTCATAACGTAGGTTGAAGAGGAGGCACAACCGCACCTTGTCCTGCACCTGTATGTCCTGCCGCTTCATCAAGTTCTGAAGTCGGTCAAAGTGATCGTTCATGTTGTACGAGGCGACCATATCCTGTTCCAGGAGGGACACCTGCAGTAAGTCACGCTCCTTCACAACGTGCGAGAGGTGTGTGGTGATGGTGGCGTGCTTCGCCACGGAACCGGCTAGACTCTTTGTTTGCCCGATGCGCTGCATAAAGTCCTTTATTTCATCCATCGTGGCGGTGGAGCGGTCGAGGTTGAGGGCACTCTTGCAGCGGTCCACGTAGGTTTTCACATTATTACACAAATCGCCCCAATTTAAAAACATGTTCGCCGCAAAGAAGAGATCATCCTGCTCGGAGAGGACGTAGCCATCGGGGTCGGCGTCCTTCACGTTGGCGGGGAGGTGCAGCGTGTTGTGGTGCAGCCCGAGGTGTTCGTGGAGCATGGCCTGATAGGTCCAAGGGGTGAGCAGCGGGGTGACAGGGTCGTCGCTGCGGTCGAGAAGGAGGAGGACCGCGTTCTTACTGCGGTAGTTGTACAAGTCGGCGTCGTTCTTGAGTAGCCGCATCAGCTCCTCCGCGACACGGCACGCAAACCCACTGCGCTTCTGCACTCGTATGTGTGGCCGTCTGCGCTGTGCGACAAAGAGGGAGGCCAACCCTTCCGCCAGCCGTCGCACCTTGTCCTGCGGGATGCTGGCCGCGAACAGTCCATGCGTGCGAGGGACAGGCCCGCCGCCCACGGTAATCTCGTGAAGGTCGGGGTGGTTGTGCTCAATGAGAAAGACATCCTTATTGACGACGCAAAGATCACAGAATGCTTCTTGCACCCGTTGCACGAGTTGCTCCACGTCAGCGCGGGCGAGGGAGTCGAGGTGCTCCGGGCTGGCCACCCCGCAAAAGACAATACTGTAGCTGGAATACTTCCCCATCCTCAGCTCCTCACAAGCGGCGTCCACGCTGTGGCGCACTGGTCGTATGAAAATAATACACCGCATATTCTTCACTTTGCTCCTCTGACGATTGGCGCGCACCTGGTCAACCAGGAAGACACCTTTTTTTAGTAGTTGAGTCTGTGAGAAGGAGGTGGATATGATGGGAAGGGTGACGTCATCGACGAGAAGCACCTTCATGGTTTTGTCTGCCGGGACGACCTGATCTACATAGTCACTCACCAGCGTAAAGAGTGACTTGGAACTGGGCTCTTTTTTCGAGGAAAAGAGTGACATACTGACTTTGAAGCGAGAGAGAGAGAGAGAGAGAGAATGGAATGTGACACACTTCTTGCAGTTGCTCATAACAGAAATAGAAGCACATCATAGAAATAGTTTCATCCACAAGAAAACTACAATCTTCACTTTTCCACGGCGAAAGACAGTAGTGGGAAAAGCAGTGAAGCAGAGAAACGAAAAGCTCATCAGGCAAGAATACTGAGCGTATCGCTATCTTCAACACTACACACTCTGACCTGTTCCGTTTCCCTCTTGTAGAAAGAAGTAGACAGAAAGGCAAAGTGGTAGATTAAGATTTCTTCAATAGAAAAAGTCGATTTTGCACATCATTCGATCGTGAAAGCATACAGAATCGTAATAAGCAGTCAGCCAAGATAATTGTTGTCCGTCATTAGTGTTTAGTTTCTGCTCTTGAATGGTAATAATGGTTTATTGTCCATCATGAAATGATCACACGCAGCGAAGTAGGGAAAATACACACGAATCAGAAATAGGTTCAGATTTCAAGGACTAGATTTGTGTTTCTCATTGGAAAAGAATTTCTCAGATATATGCTTGTTCTCGTTTGATCATCAGATGAAAGTAAAAGAAACTAATCAAGAACAAACAAGACGTCATGCCACACCGTAGGACACAACCGTTGTGCAAAAAAAAAAAAAAAAATAATGAATACCAGCAACATCAAAAATAATAATAAGCAGAACAATCAGATCATTTGGAATTGCAAAAATTGTTTTTCACTCGTGTTATTTTCGGATTATTGGTCGATTTGTATCTCATCAGGGAAACAACTACAAATGAAAAGCAAATAATATTCGGCAGCAAAATAATAATAAAATATCAGCCTTCGAGAATAAGATATGCGCGTCGAAGTACGGGAGCATGAGACGCAGAATTTATGTATATATCGCTGTCATTATCCATTCCGTTAAACTATTTTTTTTTTTCGAAGTGGAGAGTCAATTAATTTTATCACCGCTGTATTTACATTATTTAACAGTTATTCCGTTTTTTTTCTTTTCTTGAAGAAATTAAGATAGGAAAGAACCAGCAAAAAGGAAAAGAATAAGCCTTATCCTTGATACCTAGTTTAGTAGATGGGAGAGAAGAGCGAATTAGCGTCCAGGGAGGAAAAGATAATGCGCTCTCACTTCCTTCATTGGGGAGGGTACGCCACGTCTGATAAACCCCATATAGACCGATAAGAAAAATGAGTGTACGCGGCACATCAGTAAGGATGTAGCGGTTTGCAAGTGACTCCTTTACTTTTCAACTGTTCTTTCACAGCGTTGAAGGACGGATTGGTTTTCGAGTTGTAAAACACCACCTTCAATCCTTTCATCTTCAACAGCGGTGTGCAGTCTTTTAGGTTGGGACAATCACTAATGTCTATTCTGATTATGCTGTCTGGCAGTGCTGCACACCAGTCAAGGGTGGCAATCTTGGTCTCGCCTACGGATACGTAGATCACCTCCGGCAGGAGCGGTATCACCGTGATGAGATATCCTGACACAGTCAGTTCAGAGGATTCTATCGCGAGGATTGTGTTATTGGTGAGCTCATAAGTGGTTTTGCCGTAGTTACCACAATACGCCTCCAGCACTTTGCGAGGGACGATACCTTCCTTGTGTTGTATGTAACAGTGTTCGAGACTCGTGAAGTACCCAGTAATGCTCTTCAAATTTGGGAGTGCGGCAACGATCATCTCCAAGAACTCTCCCACGTTGTCGTCTCCTATAGAGGCGTTAAGGCTATCTGGGAGCGAGAGATCAGTCACCTTTGTTAGGAGTGGTATCACTGTCGAGAGATAGTCTGAGAGGGTTAGTGCAGCGGACTGTATCGCCTTGATTGCGTCTTGAGTGAGATAATAAGTGGTTTCGTTGTAGCCGCCGCAGAAAGCCTCCAACACTTGACGAGGCACGTTACCCTGCGTGTACATTACGTAGCAGTGTGCCAGTCCCTCAGGGTAGCCAGTAATGCTCTTCAGGTTTGGGAGTGCGGCAACGATGGTCTCAAAGAACTCTCTCACATTGGCGTCTTCTACGGAGGATTTCCATCTTTTAGGTAGGTTCAGCGTCTCCCGGTGATCTGAATTTAGTATTTCTCTAATCGAATAAACAGAAATGGTATTTTCCTTGTAATACTTAAACACCTTGATCAGGTCAAACTGTCCAGCCATACAGTTATAGCAGTTTTCCGTCAAACATAGCCTGAAGTCACACATCTCTCTTGTCACGTGCATCTGTCGCTTCGATTCCTCCTTCTCCGCCAACGCTTCCTCCAATTCCTGCTTCAGACGTGTGTTGATGCTGGTCATTTCCTCCGCATAGTCGCGGTGCTCCTCCACCAGTTCGTCGTGCTCTTTTTTCAGATTGTCGTACTTGTTTTGGAGAGTTATCCTTTCCTCCCGAAGGGCACTCTTTTCCTCCACTAAAGTCACCTTCTCGTTCGTTAGGTCATCGACTCTTCCTTGGAGCGCCACCCATTGGGCGAAGAAGGCAGCTGGAACTGTGTCGGTCATTGATGCTTGATACAAAACTGACGAAAAACAATATAGAGAGATAGACGGGTATGGCTCAATGTACAGTGCCGGCGGTGAAAATTTGATAGATGATAGGGAGGCAACAGCTAGTCAAGTGACTCCACGGTGATACCAAAAAAACCAATCGTCAGATGGGGAAAGAAGAATTCTATCCGATTTCTCAATTCAGTTGATCTCAGAGACTCCAGTCGGTGTGTGTCATCGTGTGTGGTTCTTTAAGGGTGGGTGATAGGAAGCAGTAAGCAGAAGAATTCAGTCAAGTTATTATATGTATAATAAACCCTTTTTTGTCAACTCAGTTCCTCCGTTCAGCTTTGACTCCAGTCGGTGTGTGTCATCCTTTGCACAGAGACGTGTAATAGAAAATTAACAATGAAGCAGCAGAAAGGGTTGTTTACTGTATACGGACTACAGTTGGTGTGACGAGAGAGATGGCCCATTCCGCGACATCAGTCAAAAGTTGAGTAACAGTGTAATGCACAATTGCATAATTTCTTCAATCAAGGTTCAGATGGTAATTCCAAAGCGTAAACATCATTTAGCGGACATAACAACGACAAAAAAAAAAATAGATGTTCTCGGATCATGTTGTTGAACCACTATAATGATGATAAATGACAATCAGTGGCCTGCCACGTTCCTGTTTGTTGTAGTGTGAACACAAAAAACAGTTTTCTAATAAAGATTTCGTCAGTGCCGTATAAAAAAATTTATACATCAATAATGTTTTAGTCAGACTCGTCTTCCAATTATTTTTTTGATCATAGCAATTTCATCACTTGAGGTAGCTGTTCTGTTATGGTAAGCAAACCGTAAAATTAAACACGGGAAACCAATCGAACGTTTACGTAACAAGAACAAAATAATAATAACAAAAAACAGTTTCGATCGCCACGTCAGTCAAAAGTTGAGTAACAGTGTAATGCACAATTGCATAATCTCTTCAATCAAGGTTCAGATGGTAATTCCAAAGCGTAAACATCATTTAGCGAACGTAAACGATACTGTAATCACAAAAAACCAGTACCACTAACAACAACAAAAAGAGGAGCACAGAAAACCAATCGTCAGAAGAATTCTATCCGATTTCTCAATTCAGTTGATCTCAGAGACTCCAGTCGGTGTGTGTCATCGTGTGTGGTTCTTTAGGGGTGGGTGATAGGAAGCAGAAAAATTCAGTTGGTGTTCTTAGTACTCGTCGCATCGTCAACACCCCTGCCCGTGAGCAAGGGTGTCTCAATAAATGTGCAAACATAAAGTATTTTGTGGTTCATCATGTCTGTCGTGGAGGGAAGGAACAACAACAGTAGTACTGTATACCGTGCGTTAGCGGTTCAGCGGATGACGCTTAACAAGGTGTATCCGTCATGTTCAATTGGTGTCGGGCACGTTTAAAAGTGAAAATTGTTATTTTATACATCATTCACGCGACTCAAGGAAGCAGAAAGAAAAGTAATCAATGCGCAGCACGCTTCTCGGACACGGGACACCGCCTGCTGGAAATTGAAGTCGGCGGGCCCCTTTTGTTGTAAAACACTGTATCGTCTATCCATTTTCGGGGTAGTAAGGTCATAAGACCGTCGTAAGTGGTTTATCGTCATGGACGTACTGGGAGAAAGATAGAGGAATGAAACGCACACAGACATACGTGTGCGCAATGAGATGCAGTGGAGGGACGGTCTTGTGTGGCGACTATTCACATGGCGCTTGAATGAGTGAAAGAGAAGAGAAGGAGGAGGGCAGAGAGAACAGAAAGGTAGGAAATAGCATCCACTACTTCAGACGGGAACAGTCCGGTAACTTTTTCGGTAATAGGAAATCAAAACGTGTTTCACTTTTGTGTTTTTTGTTTTTTAAATATATCTCAAAAATAGTTCAGCGGTAAAAAGAAAGAAAAGAAAACAATAGCTCTGAAGAGCAACTAGTGCATGCACTCTATAGTTGATCGTCTCTCCGAGAGAACGGAGTGAGAAAGATAATGGAAGTGGTGAAGCATGTAGAGCGGACGGAAAGTGTGTTTGTTCTGCACCCTTAACCTTGAGCTGCCGCCTTCTTAACACATCACGCCTTTTCTGATTAACTGCTCTTGCACCGCGTCAAAGGAGGGATTGGTGTGAGCGTTGTGACCCACGCGCTTCAATCCTTTCATCTTCAACAGCGGTGTGCAGTCTTGTATGTCGGGACAGTCATCGATGTCCACACCACTCACTCGTTCCGGAATCGCCTCACACCAGTCGAGGGTGGTTATATTGGTATAAAATACCCATACGTCGGTTACCCGCGGCAGGAGAGGCAGCACCGTGATGAGATAGTCTGACACAGACAGCTCAGCGGACTGTAATGCTTTAACTTCATCTTGAGTGAGTTGATAAGAGGTGCCGTTGTAGCCGCCACAGAAAGCCTCCAGCACCGGGAGAGCGACGCCACCCTGCTTGTATTGTACGTAGCAATCCCAAGGTCCCTTAAAGTGCCCAGTGATACACCTCAGGGTTGGGAGTGCGGCAACAAACTGTGCGAAGAATTCTCTCACATTGGCTTCTCCCACGAAGGTGTTAAGATCATCCGGTAGGGTCAACGTCTCACGGTGATCGGCGGTGAGTGTTTCCTTCATCACATCAGCGGAAACACCATACGCCTTGTAATAGTTGAACAACGCGATTAGGTCAAACTGACCGACTGAACAGTCATAGAAGTTGTCGAGTAACACTTTCCTCTGTTCATCCATCCCGCCGGTGGGCTTCTTGCTGCTCTTCGCTTCCTCCAGTTCCTCTTTCAGACGTGTGCTGACGTTGACCATTTCCCCCATATAGTCCTGGTGCTCCTCCACCAGTGCATCGTGCTCTTTTTTCAGGCGGCCGTACTTTTCGCGCCACCCTCGGTTTTCGGACACCAGAGCCCTCTGTTGTACCGACATTTCCGCACACTTCTCTGTTATCATGTCGTACTTGTTTTTGAGCGTAATTCTTTTCTCCACCCAAGCCATCTTTTCATTCGTCAGTTCATTGACTCGTTCTTGTAGCGCGGTCCATTGTGCAAAGAAGGGGTCTGGAGCGGTGTCAGACATGTGCAAGCGTCAAAGTAGACGATAAACGGAAAAGACTGGATTAACCTAGGTGAACACTATTTTAAAGGAAAGAAAGAAAGTGTGACAATTCCGTGGAGCAAATAAATCCAAAAAACAGGTAATCCAGCATGTTACAACTAGAAAAAGTTTTTTTTTTTTTTTTTTATGATGTACGCAAAAGTAAGGAGCGAGCACATTGGCCCTTGCCCCTCCTTTTTGTGTATCTTCTTACGTGGACGGGTATCTGATGTTCCAAAAACGGTTCCGGAGTCTATGCAAAAAATTTTATCTTATTTCTATGGGAGCGTGAAGATCACAATTACTTGTTATATTTTTCTGAGTAAGGCAACCGCCTTTAAATGAACAAACAAAAGTGTGTGTGTGTGTGTAAGGTTATTGCAGGATAACGTGCCAAAAAACCCCGCTATCAGTGACGTTGTGCAGGGGAGGCGGTCTTTCGTGGTCGGCCTCTCTTACGACTCTCCTCCGAGAGCGGCACGACGGTCCACGTGTCCTTCTTCCCACCGGCGGGCCGACCTCTCCCGCGCTTGACGGGTGTGGGGAGAGGGAAGGCGTGGGTGAGCTCCTCGACAGAGGGGTTGGCGGCAGGGGGAGAGAGCGAGGACACACTGGACAGACCTCTTTCTTCCGCTGTGGGCCGCTCCTTCTTGAACGCTTGGAGTGGCGCCGTCGTCGTCTCCTCTGAGGAGGAAAGGACGCCGGTCTGGGTGGACGGGGCGACGGCATCTGGGGAGACGGTCGGCCTAGCCCCCGGTGATGGGGAGACCCGCTCCTCGGGGAGCAGCAAGTTACGCTGTAGACAGTCTTGCATCCATCGCAGACTGACACAGGTGATCCCATTCTCCTTGGCGACTTCCAGCTTGGAAGGACCGCTCCGCTCTCTCTGGGAGGGAGGCCCCCACACCGGCATATACACCACCAGTGTGGTGCTGCGTCGGAGGTGGGGGCTGTAGTGCGCGCCGTAAAACTGCAGCAAGGCGATCAAGTTGAACTTGATGGAGGGTGGTACTTGGGTGGTGGTGAAGTGCACTTGGTCTAGGAATAAAGGGTCGTAGCAGAGGAAGGCGGTGTGGGGGTTGTAGCCGTCCTGGGGGAGCGGCTTCACCGGGACACAGCGGCCGGCGAGGAGACAGGCCTCCACCCACCGCACATAGACGACGGCGTGTCGCCCACCCCGCAGCAGCGCATGACCTTCCAAGTTGTGAAAACAACCTCTGGGGAAGTCATTGTACTGCAAACCAACGAGGAGAGCGTCCCCCAGGGATGACGGTGCCCCCTCTGCGGTGTCTTTGGGAAAGTGCGACACCAGTCGTCCCCCCTGTACCGCGATTGCATCCGCAATGGGGGAGTGTTGTTTGTCAGGGAAACCTTCCGGGACGAGGAATACCATTCCACGAAACATTTTTACGGCTAATTCTTTTTTTTTTTTTTCCGGATATGTCTGCGTATGTGTATGTATGTCCTTTGTGGTGTAGTAATAATAGGGATTCACAGAATAATAATAAAAATAAGAAAAGAACGAAGAGAAAAAGGAGGTCTTTTCTTTTGTGTATTGTCACACAGAATTCTTTTGACAGACGATATAAATAAGTTTCTTTTTTTAAAAACGATATATGAAAGAAAATAAAATATCTAACGTAAACTCTAAAAACAAACAAACAAAAAATGTACAAAAAAACATATCCAATTCCTTTCCTTCTACTCTAAAACTATAGTTTTCCTTAGAAATCATCAAAAGACATTTCGTCTCCATTGTCGTAGTCCGCATCGTCGTAGCCTCTGCGATGACTATTATTATAATTATTATTGTTATTATTGTTGGGGTTGTTTCGTCGGCGCGTATTGCTCCATTCCTCGGCGGGGGAGTATTCATCTCCGGTTGGGCTAACAGGGGATGGTTCATAATTATCTTGACCATTGTAGAAGTAGTCCTCGTCATCCATATTGTTATTATTATTATTGTTATTGTTGTTGTAATCGTTGTAACCTCTCTCCGAGTAATCGTCATGGTAGCGACGATTGTCGTCGTACGTGGGTTCCTCCTGAAGAATGATCTGTTCTCCATCTTCATCGTAAAACACATTATTATTATTGTCATTACTGTAGTTGCCATTGTCCTCGACCACGTCCCTGAAATCATCCTCATCGAGTCCAAGGTCTTCTAACGGGTACATTTCTTCTTGATTATTGTTATTATTGTATAGATCGCCACTGCCATATAGCATTTGATCTACATCGGGGTAAAAGTTATCGGCCTCCGCTGGGGAAGGGTCTCGGTCCCCTTCCTTGAGCTTCCACGGCATCGCCTGTCGCCACATCAAACCTCCCTCGTCAATCTGCGACTCCCGATCACCAAAGTTCTCCTTTAGTTTCTCGAACTGTCGCTCCTTCAGCGCCTGCATCACCTGCTCCCGCATGGCCTTCACCAGTACATCAAAGTCCTCCTCGGTCATGAGCTGGTAGGAACGAACAATGCGGACCTGCTGTCCTTCGCTAATCGCCTTCCGCGCATCCTCCACGATCCCATTGCGCTGGGCGGTGTGTATCTTTAGCAACGGCTTGTAC